CCCTTATCGAACGCTTTCTTCTAGACTTCTTTTTGGAATAAATAGCCAAGCTGTTTGTAAGATTTTGTGTTTTGTTTGAATAATTTTTATTATGGCATTTGTTCAAAGGCGTATTTTATGAGATTTTACGATCACTCCCTATGATGAAATAGCGCATTTTGTTCCTAATGAACTGAGCTTTCCAGAAGTAGTGAACATTTTGTCGGCCTGTCTTAGCCAAATTCGTACGTAGTCTTTGAACACTGATGTATTGGACGGAGGAGACTAGAATTACAAACTTTGCATGGATAATGAAACAGTGTGTCAAAATTTAAAAAGCTTATTTATGATAGCAAAAGTAGGTCTGATATCAGGAATTTTTCTCTCTCTATTTCCTGGTCACATCGATAGTTTGTATTTAATTGCAAGCAAAAATTACAAGTGTTGCCAGGGTATTACTGGCCCCTCCTGTCTGGCTAAGATGCAGGCAGCAATAAGGCATTTTTGGAATGTTTTCTATTATTCGTCAGACTCGGCGGTGACCATCATTGGACGCTTTGAAGTGCCTGAGTTACAACTCCTTCTGTGTCCTTCCTCCATGCTCAAAATTACATTGTTGGCGTCAACAGACTTCATTTGGACGCTATGTTGACTTTCAACACGTGTGTCCACACTGCCCGGGCATAATGTGGAAACGGATATTCTTACGTTGTGTTAAGATGAAAAGGTTGTCGTGAAATATCATACTGACTATTTTGTATTTGTAACCAATAAAGAAAAACGTGTATATCTGAAACAAGTATTTATTGTGAAGAACTGATTTAACATTCATTACAATTTAAGCCTAAACGTGTCCTTTTGGCGGCTTTGTCTAGAAAAAAAACAACAAAAACTTAATCTACATTCTGTTGTCAGTGTCACTTACCGGCCAAATAGTTCACACCTGCACTGGAAGAAATTGTAAATACCTTTTTAGCGGAAATATGTTACAAACCGAAGTTCAATCTAACCTTTTACAGGGCCGTCTTGCCTTGTCTTTCTCAACCCGTCAGAATTCAACATTAATGGTTGATTGACCTCATGATGCATTTCCTGCCCTTAATATTTATGACAGACAGTTTCTCACCGCGAAGCAGACACAGGTGGCGGAGAAGCCTCCATCGGAGTGCCTGTCTCGTCTAGAGGGTGTGGACTTCGGTGAATTCAGGTAAAAATAATGCAGTGATAAACGGTCACTGAAGGCATGGTTCATGAGAAAGTACCGTGGCTGTTACATCGCTAGAGCGATTGCTTTCCTTCCTAAACCTCATTTACAAAATGTTCGAATATCAGGAGTTCGGTCCTTTAATGTCTGTTCGGCTTGTGAATTCTGCACATGCATTGTTTCAAATTGTGCATTATTTGCATAGCCTCAAATGTTGGGAAAACTGCGGCCAAAGTTTTCAGTGTTACATAATTTGCTGTAAACATAAATTACACAAAAAGCCTAATCCAAATAATGCTAACTATTCTGCTCTACCTCTCCTTAATATGATTGCTATGGCAACCGTAGCCTTTTTAACAAGCAGTAATTTTGATAGTATCTATGGCTCTTTCCAGTGCCATTTCTCCGAAACGTTCAGGTCCACTAGTATTTCTTGTATCCCGGCCGTCGATCTCATCGGAGGCCCCCAAGAGCAAGAGGCGAGGTGACCGCTCCTGGACTCTTGCCTGGCGAGTTAAATGTGGATGAGCGCCGCCTCGGGTGGGCGGTCCCCAGAGGGGACGCTAGGGAGGCAGCATCGGCGTGGTAGAAGTCCCAAACGCACAGAATCTCATCATTGCCTACAGAAACTGGAAACAAGACGCGGAGAGGAGGGAGGCGATGTCAACCCATCCATGACGTATACAGAGCTTGCCTATTCTGTTGAAGTGTGCCAGCTCAGCCATGAAAGGCCGGTTCGTACTTGGCGCGAAAGCGAACGTGAAGACGCGAGATAAATATTCGCAGTGCAAAGTTGCAAAAGTGGACCACATTGTGTTGCGAACGTTTCGTGAAGTCAAATTCGCTTCGCATTTGTCTGAAGTATGGCCTGGCCTTTAGTGTAAAAGTATCAACGATCATAAACTTTCATAGCTTGTCACTAGTGCTTTCACCCAAGATTCTTAAAGTGCCCACCCTTAAAGGGGTCATCAAATTTCTGATTATCGTGAATATTTCGAGTCATCTACGACGAACCAGGATAACTTTTGGTGCGACACTGCACCTTTTGGCTGAGTTAACGTCACTACTAAACAAACTCCAACTTGCGTCAGTATTAATGATAATTTCCACATGATGTGTGTACTTTAAGGGTTCCTTAAGGAAAATCTTTCCAGTGGCCCCCCAAGGGAGGAAAATGAGTGAAGCACTTAGCAAACTTTAATAAAACTTACTGAGTTTGCTGCCGTCAGGCGTCAGTCCCACCTGAAAGACCCGGCCCTCGTGTCGCCTCATCTCCCCCACCAGGTGCATCTTGGGAGATTTCCAGACCCGGATGTTGGCCTCCCCGCTCTCTGTGCCGTGGCTGGACACCAACTCCGACGACTGTTCGCACCAAGCCAGCGAAGTCACCTTTATCGAACATGCACGAGGACAAAAGCAAACAAGGCGTGAAGTTCGAACGGCAAAAGCATAAACTACCTCTCAAACAAACTTGTCTGGTAACAGTGATGGCTACAAAAAGTCCTACCTCTGACCCCACCATGATGCTTTTATTCAAGATCCCCGTGTAAACGTTCCATATCCGAATGGTTTGGTCGCTTGCCTTTCCTCCTGTAGTTACATACCATGGTTTCAATGGGCACCAGGCCATTGCCTGAAAAGAAAGAGTAACAATCAACCGACTTTTGTATGGACTATGATGGGCCGAGCCAGGGTCCCCCCCCAAAAAAACGTGCACGACGAGCACCGAACGCCGCTTGCTCCCGGATACCGGGGATACTCACACCGACACCATCGCTGTGCGCATCCAGTTCGTGCTGGGGTTTCCCACGGTGCCTGACGTCCCACATGACCACCTTGCCGTCCGCCGTGCCGCAGGCCAGCATGCCTCCGTCGGTGGAGTACCGCAGGGTGTTGACGGCACTGAGCCGGCTGCTGGTGGTAAAGTACCCGACTGGACTCAGGCTACAGCGCGTGTCGTACACCTTTACAGTCCCATCAGAATACCCTCTGAGGTTTAGGACAAAAGGCTGAACTGGACTATTATCAATTACTTTAAGGACACAATAATTATTCTGAACGTATGTCTATTTTAAATATTAATCTTGCTCTTGACCAATAAGGCAAACCTCAACCATACATGGATAAGTTTTTTTGTGGAAAGCTAAATTTATTGGCTCATCTATTGTTGATATGTGGTCCCAGGATTGTCATAATTTCCAACTCACGCTGATAAGCAATGCCGACTCCAGTCCAGACAATCAGAGGGCGAGAAATCTATCGACGATGCGGTAATGCGACCGAGCTCAGGATCAAATAGCTTCAAAAGGAGACAAATGCAGTACTTCAAGATATAGACAGATACACTTTCTATTTCTAACATTCAAATCTGCTGTATAATGTGCAACGAATAATGATAACGAAAGCTAGCAGGTAAGAGCAGTCATGCGGTAATGCATACGACTCTAGGTACTGGGACCAGGAATGAGAGTTATGGTCTGGAATCAAGGCTACTAAAGGGAGGCGATGCGACCAGTGAGATTCCCGTTTCGTCACGTGGTTCAAACTTCTGGCGTCTGGTTGGTCATCAATGGTACACTTATATGTATTTTCAGGTGAAGTGTGCTTGACTTCGCAAACTGGAATTGTAAAGACACAACAACAGATAGCAGAGCTGTTTATCACGGGTGAGCGAGTGTCCCTTAACACTCGAGACGGACGCAGGTAAGGCCATAAGTGAAGGCATTCAACTTACCAGCAAAGCTTGGGCGCAGACCGCAACCGCCCTGCCAGTGGGACTCCACCGCACGCAGCAGGGAGTGTGGTGGGCGTCGTCCCGTCCAGCCGGCTCGCTGCTGACTGTGAAGGATTTGAACCTCACATCAGCTTGGCCAAGCTCCAGGACGTGGAGCTGTCTTCCAAGCAGCATGGCCAGCTGGCCGCGAGAGTTGATGTCGAAGAGTTGTGACGAGCCCACTGAGGAGACAAACCATTTTAGTTCGAATAGAAGTTGTTGATCCTGTTAAAACTAAGCAGTGAACCAGGAAATCCGAGTGTACATTTTTAACATCCTTCCATTCGGGACATTTTCTTTCTGTCACCGCGAGTTTGTCTTCACCAAATGAATTTTGTGAATGGCTGGTAACAAATTAATTTTCTCATATTTCTCGATTTCAAGCTGCATCAAATTACTTCTGTCGACGTGTCCTTGCGATGCTTTCGGTCGTTTATTAAATGCGTTTGTGTGGCCAATTATAATTAACAAATTTAGTAGTCATTGGCTCGTCATGCGAGTACAACGTGCTTGTCTTTTCACAATAAAAATGCGTTTCTTCTCTGACAAGGTCTTTTGGATGGAACCCACTTGAGATTCTAACCAAGTTCCCTGTTGATTACCGGCTTACCGCGAGCTGTGTTGAGAGCGTTGACTTCTAAGGCATGTGTCGGCGAGGGCGGCAACTTCCGACACGGCAGCTTGCTCGTCGCGACGTCTCTGTAGCCTGCAATCGTAGTGATAATTGGTTAACACGGGCATTTCGTAACAGTGCGCCTCCAAGAGTTTGCAACGCGTTGGCCAATCACAATGCGCGAAATCTGTCCACCCAATGCGCGTATGGAAATGGTCTACAAATTTCGCGCGTTGTGATTGGCGAACGGGTTGCAAACTCTTGGAGGCGCACTATTGTGAATCGCCCGTACTAAATGACAGCCGATTAATAAAGTCAAACACTAAGCATTATTAGACTAAGTATTCATTGCATGCACTCACACTCTATGCGCATATGCAGACACCTGTTAAGCGATTCTATCCAATTAGAGCTCAGAGAAATTAGCCGCACCCTCAGAATCAATGGATGGGGCTGCTTGCAGAAGCGAAGGAATGGTAGCCTGGGATGATTCGGATAAGAAGCTATACAATACACACCCTCAAACCTACACGAGCAGGATTCGTCCAAGATTTCCATTATTTTGGACAAAAATAGAAATTGCGGAATGGGCCCCGATCTGGACCAAGAGAAGGCGCAATTTTCCTTGCAACTGAAGCTCCTTTGTTAAGAATTTCATTTCGCTGGACAGGTTCACAAACGGCTACGAGACGCATGCGTTGCGTTCGCGTAAAATGAACACCTCCCCACCAGCATGGCTCTTTACAAGCAATGAGGGGGTGCTTCTGCTCAAGGCGGATCAGGTTTGAAAGTGGGTGTTTACCACTCCAGCTGCCGCTTCGCTGACGGGGTCTAAAGGCGAAGACCTTGTCGCAAACAACACCCTCGGCTAAGAGAGCCATCCGTTGTTGGTAATCGGCTTGAGACTGTAGAAAAAATTGATCAAACTTAACAACAAAGCTGTCAGCGATAAAGACTTTTGTTCTAGTTTTGTTGGAGAAGTTTTGTTTATCGGTTGCAAACAGTATATTGACAAGCCGTATTTCTATGATTAAAATCTCAGAACGTAAAACATCGTCCCCCTGAAAGCAAGTGAATACGTATAATAAAACAAATACTTCCATTCAATATTACTCTTATCAATGAAAAATGGCGCTGAAATGGCTTCAGAAACATGCAGTTGTTCGCGTGCAATGTGTTTGCATTGCAGTTGTGAAATATATTTATTACTTTTTGGTTTTCAAATTTTCTAATGGGAGTTTTTACGGTTCGCCTTGACCGAGAGAACGTCTCTGCTCCCCGAAGATATGCCTGAGTGGTCATTTTATCCTGTCCGATTGTAGAAAACAAAACAAACTAACATCATCGCTAATTACCTCCCCGAATTTCCAGACGGAATCGCTGTTGTTCGCCTCACTCTTGGACTCGAAGAACACGTCTTGGCTCGACGCCCCATCTTCGTCGGCCCTCCCCCGGCTGCCAGGTGTCGGGGAGACCTCGTAGGAAGCGGCGGCGAAGTTCAGTCGGTCCCTGGCCGGGATGAAGCGGTCGAAGGACCCGGCCCGACCCCGCTGCTGCTCCTGGTGGATGCCGATCATGGCTAGCGATGGCAATTCCCAAGTTCGACCAAAATAATCCTTGAATTCAAGCAAAATTAAAGGTATGGTGAATCTTGACACCTCGTTATTCACCACGTGTATTGCCAGTAGTTACTCATTCACTCAAAAAAACGAATTTAGGGAAAAAATGTTGCATCCTGACTCCACTTCAGCAGTTGTGTACAAAGTCTATGGGGAGTGAAGAGAATTTTCTACGTATTTCCCAACAACATCATTAAATGTTTCTCAATCCAGAATTCGTGTCTTTCCAGCATTTCTGTAATGACTGACTTTTATTGAGATGATACATGATGAAAAAAGGGGAGTCACGATGCAACATTTTTTTCGGAATTGAGACTAAGAAACCTTTTGTATTCCAGTTCTGTCAAACCTGTTAGTTACCGAGGTATATTCCCACCCATGTTTCAAACACTGATTGCATCCAAGCTGGAAAATGCCCCGTAAATAAACCTGGAGTCAACTCACCACATCTAGAGCACGTCTTCCTGTCTGCATTAACTCCCGGAACAAGGCTGTCGAGAAATTGGTGTCAGAATTAAGTATCTGCGTCGACTTCGCAAAGAACCTTTCACTTGCAATCAACAGTATTCAGCCAAACTCAAGCAGCGCGATGCGTTCCGTGCACATGCCTTGTAATGCTAATGATGGGAATTGTGGAAAATTTCTCCAGGTGCTGTAACCACAGACAGCCATGTCGAGCGCCCTCTTTAGGTGGCTTACTCGAACCGTTACACGGTTCAAGTTACCTGTTGTTCAGATCACGTTCGGTGAGGAAAAGCAAGATATGCGATAAAGGGGGCCCCCTCTATTGTGTCTTCTTTTACGTTGATGGAATCTTTGGAATTCCTTTCAGATTTCCGAGGGGGCGCTGTAGGCACAATAGCCTCAGGGTATACAGCTTGTGCGTCACATGGGGGGGTCCTCCTTTACTGCATATTGTGCAGGGTATTGCCGTTCTGGAACTGTTGAGAGGTCACGTGATCACTATACACGAGAGACGCGCGTATTTTTAATCCAGCTGACTAATGACTTATGAAAGGTGCTTAGTAGAGTTAATACACATTAACTGAACACTTTTGGTACTAATTGTCTAAAACACGTTCAACCTGAGCTGTAGGTTTGCGCGTACACCGTGGAATCACTCTCTTCAGAACCACGACAGCTCGTGTAACTTCTACCAAGCAAAGCTCCAAATCTTACCGACGTTCAGCCTGTGACACATTTTGATAGTTCTTAAATGCTAAACGCTTTCCGAATACGTGCAATTCACAATAGTGCGCCTCCAAGAGGTTGCAACTTGCAACGCGTTGGCCATTCACAACGCGCAAAATCTGTCGACTCTCTCCAAACACGCACTGGGTCGACAGATTTGGCGCATTGTGATTGGCCAACGTGTTGCAAACTCTCGGAGGTGCACCACTGCGAAACGCCCGTTTTCCCGTGGCACACGTTTAATTTGTCAAAATTCGCAAAGCATTTAAACACATCCCTAAACGCACTTCATTACAAAATATGCCAACAAGTTGTGGTTTGAAAGCACTGAAAAGTCAGTACAAAAATTGTTTCAACTCTAAGCGCTGTTTTTACCATGTACGGTCTTTTTTAATGGATCACCTCTGGCCTTCTTATTTTGTATTTCTTAGGAGAAATCCAGACAGTCAGGGCAGTAGGCTAAAGTATTAAAAACACGATAAGCTCTCTTTTGAGTGAAGTTCAACTTATGAACCGTTGGGAAGGGATTACGGAGAGAGGAGGGCGTAGTGTGCCCCTTACGGTCACGCCTCTGCCGACAGTACTTCTTTTTAACTTTGTCAACTGTTCATGCCAATTTTTCAGTCTCTCACATCCAAAATAATTTCCTCCATTTTTTTAAACTGAATATTATTACTGTAAATCAAAAATATATCCAACATCCTATTTCGGTTTGGGGGTTTCCCATTCAATGCCCCTGTAGAGTGGATGTACTTTCTTTGTCTTTATCAAATCATCAGTATTTTATTTTTAATCTAAACAACGAAGCTGTTGGGCAGGAAATAAGACCCAGTATCCTCACTTGCCCCTCTGGCAGCCATGCAGGCTGGTTTGAGATCTGCTCATTCATTCTGTCCCCGAATTCTTTCCAGTTCCTTGTCCAGCGTGCGGCGACCCGGCTAACATGTTTCCGGGTTTGCCTGGTTTTTTTTCCCTGGACTTGACCAAGTCCCTTGGCGTACGTTGACTGTGTCTATTAGCGGTGTCGGAGTCCAGCCTAGTATCAATTACACACAGTTCCGAGGTCTTGCAGGCTCCCTCCCCGAACCCTGTCTGTAGAAAGATGCTCAACCACCGAATTTCAGGTACACGAAAGATCCAAACTTGCCTTTCAGGTTGCAGGACGGTAAATGGGCCCAAAATTACCTGCGTGAACCGACGTACGATTTGTATGCCCTCAAATCCTTAGTTCGTGGACTGGGCGGTTTGTTTAGAAGGAGCTCGAGGCTGGGATCTATACCAGCAGGATTGTCAGCTTGTATTTCTGAAAGTGTCAAACCAAACGGGGCCCTCGAAATTGCTCTATTATGCAATGGAGTGGAGGCATCAATGTTCAAACTGGCGAGGGGCCTAACGACTGTTTAGAGGGGTGGTTTTCTCTGGAGAGAAATATTATACAGTAAAAAAGAGAAGTATTTTCAAAAGTCTAAGGTTACGCTACTGAAAGTTGCAGGGAAAATGAAAGACGAGGAAGGGAGTGTCTCCAACACTTGATATTTTGGAGTGGTGGTTTTATCACAGTTGCCTATAGCAGCTTATTTACTGGTCAGCAATCTCCAGTAGATTGAGGCATCAATTTTCAAACTGGCGAGGGGCCTAACGACTGTTTAGAGGGGTGGTTTTCTCTGGAGAGAAATATTATACAGTAAAAAAGAGAAGTATTTTCAAAAGTCTAAGGTTACGCTACTGAAAGTTGCAGGGAAAATGAAAGACGAGGAAGGGAGTGTCTCCAACACTTGATATTTTGGAGTGGTGGTTTTATCACAGTTGCCTATAGCAGCTTATTTAATGGTCAGCAATCTCCAGTAGCCCCTCGCTTCACTGACACCCGGACCTACCAATCGCAGTTTCCGACCGCAAAAGTAATTCCACAGAAGGTTCAGTCTCCGCTTTCCATTCATCGATACCGACCTCGACACACAATACGCAGTCTCCACTGACGTCATAAATTTCCCATGATTCTCCCAGTTGCCATTTTCAGGTTGCCTCTCTGTCCAATGAGAACATTCCTATCCTTGGCTGCCATGGCCACACTCATTGTGAAACCTTAATGGCTAATAAAGTGAAGTCGTAGATATATGCAATATCAGCAAATCGACACTAAACAATGGCAGACCGCAAAGAATTATGAGAGATATTGACGAATCTCGTCAACCTGCTGTTTTTTAGTACTTGACTATTTGGTTTCCCAATGTTTATTACAAATATCACATTATCTGATAATTAGTTGTTGCAACGAAAGGTCATGCACTGTTTGTGCGTCTCCCGCTAGCCAATAAAGAGCTTCCTCCTCAGTATTTGCCAAATCACCTGATATACAGACTAACACGCCGTCTATCCACAGTTATGTTAATTATTGCAGAGTATATGGAAGCTCCTGTACATAAAATTATATACCTAGATGTACATGTACATTGTTTTTGAAACTGACACAGTATTGTACATTTTCGAAGTCGGGTGGTGTTATGTAATTAGGGCGTAGGGTTTGAAAGGGAGGTATTGTGATAAAGAAGTCTGTTTTGGGCATGCACTCCACACGAACCACACTATTGTCGAATTAAATCTTGTATGGGAAAACATTTGGGTAAAGATTATTTAGACATCACAAATATTTACAAGGTGAAGTCTGACACCTTTAGAATCAGAAACAATACGGTAAAAGCACTGTCAGTGGTTTAATCAATTCAATAATGATAGGTACATGTTCATCTACATTATTTCATGTTTTTGAAGGACAAACAAACTTAGCCATAAGTAATCAATAAAGGCGGATATACAGGCGGTCCCAACAGTGCTCGGCTATCACCTAAACTGAGTTTGTAGAGGTAAATTTATGGACATCAGACTTCACACACACACAGACTCTGCTATGGTCATTATGGGCTCTGATCTGAGAGACCGTGCGTGACCACAGGAAGGGCCTGTTTCCCGAGGCCGAAGGCCAAGGGGAAGATGATTCTTAGTTTGGGCACTCGAGTCGCAGGCCCGAGCCGGACACAGAAAGGCATTGGTGACCAAATTATGCAAGTCCATATGTGTTTTACATCACATCCCTGACCAACAGTGATACAAAATACGAACAGAAACCTTTTCAGGATTTTATCCATTAGGGCGCTACAACCTCGTCAAAATTTGACTTTTGTCACAGAATGTGAAATGAAAACTCTGAACTCATGTTCAGAATTTGAACTCGCCATTTGAATTTTGTTTCCGGTATATTTTCAGTTCGATTTACAACATTACTTGATCCAATTATATATGCACATGAGTGTAAGCTTTCACGAATTCGTTTTTTGTTTCTGTCTATATATGCAGACGGATATTCCCGACTAATTCCGACAAAAATTAGAACTTTAACTCCAAATTCAGACTAACCTTGCAACGTTTAGAATAGCTATCAAAGCTTCATCTAGTTTTCTAAACTGCACTAGAGATACCGGTGGGGAGTTTGTCACCTCGGGCTGACTCAGGAATTTTGGGGGGAAGTACGGAGGAAGATTGTTTCCCCTGATTGTGCTGTGGCGGTTTTCCTGTCTTGCCTCGGACCTTGAATAACTGAGTCAGAGAACCAGTTTGTAGCCCGAAATTTTCCTTGCCAATGTCGACCTGGTCAGGAATATAAAACAACAACAACAACAACAACAACAACCAACAAACAAAAAATCAAATCAAAACAAAACATATATACAAAATATGCAATATATATGATACAGGTCTATCCGCAAATTACTTTCGGAATTATTTTTATATAATGAGGCTACTTGTATTCATATCGTTACTTTTAAGTTTAGACAAGCTTTTTTTTTTCGAGTTAACGGGCTTTTGTCTTACATCTGACTTCGCAGGGTTCATCCTGCCCCAAATGCCGAGTAGGGTGTGGCAACCGTGTCTGGAATGTGGTGCACCGTGCATGGTGTGTGGTAAGTGTTTAATGTCGTTGATGACAAAATAATGGAGAATTTCATTAATGGAAAATTTTATTAATGGCCCATTTGCCCATACTGTACGATGGCCTTTAAGTGGCATTGAAAGTCCTGATTGTTTTTAAATGACGTAGCTTTATTTCCACGTCGCAGTTATGTTACATCACGCAGTATGCGATGTCCTGAAGTATCGATATTCGACATTCCAACAATCCGTGCGTTCTCTTCGGGTCTTTTCATCACTGGCTGAGACAATGGATAGGCCTAATAGGCCTGTACCCGTTGGCGCAACCACCTGGGGCAGGGGACACCTCCCCGCGACTTTTATTTTTTACGAAGAATACTTCTTCAGTGAGTAGGAAAGAAAGTAGTAGTTTTATTTATCAAAATTGGCCCCGAAACCCCAAGAAAACAACACTCTAGCAAATAAAAGCAAGGATGTCGGGACCGTGAGTAGGGATAAGGCATTTGATTTTTTCCCCCAACATCATGTTGCATGATCCCAAAGCCTCATTCGCTTTTGAACCCCCCCCCAACACCAGTGAAGCGCTTATGCCGCTGCCTGTACCTGTCTCTGAAATATCTTGTATGAATTTTTCTTCGTCGTATAAACTGGAGTACTTCTTTCCAACTTGGCCTTCTTTCTTCACGTTTTATATTGCGTTGAAATGTATTACTGAAGAACCGTTAGTTTCATAACCAGCATTAATTACAAGTAGATTTAATGACCGGACAAGCAGGCCTCTGTATGGCACACATTATGTGTGACACCTCAGTTATCAACATTATGTACCGGCCATGACTTCCTTTAATTATCCTTATTTTTTCCTTGGCATACCGTGACGACCGTGATTGGAGCCAGTCAGTTCATGTCAGGAATTTCTCTACTGAAGGTGATTCACAATCTACCGCGGAAGTGCTGTTTTTTCCTGTCCCGAGCACCCAGTGCCGTTTGTCACATAAACACGGGGACATTGAAGAACTCCAATGTAATGAGGTTGGAATAAATGGAATAATGAGGTTGGAATACATGAGCAGTCACGATATAATTATGCGCAAAACGGTTTAAAAATCGACTCGATTCAAGTGTTTCGTGTTTTTTCTCTTTTGCGCGAGAAGTCGTTTCCGTAGACCCCCTGTCACTGACGATGAGACTGAATATGTGTCGGAGGGGTCCGTGCGTACAGTTTCAATGGTGCATTACAATACACGCAAAGTGTCTAACAATAGGCGGGTCTTCAAAGTTCAGTTAACATAAACCGAGTCCCCTCTGTTATAATGCTGGACACTGTATTAACCTCATTGACGGGGGCTGAATGTGGGATTTAGGCCACACTTGTGTCTGCAGGCAGGCTAGCCGAAAGTTTGACAAATCATCCCGCCTACGTGAGTCTCCTGATACGGTCACCGGGTGAAATCTTTGAGCACACCCGGTGACTGAGATCACAACTCTTACAAACAACATAAAAGCATGTTGGCCCAGCAGATCTGCTGGGCCCACGGACAGCGGTAAACACGCATGTGCATGTACAGCCACAGTGGATGTTGTATGGGTTGATAAGACGCTCTGTCCTTTCTACTACAGAAAGGAAGGGCTTTTGTAAGCAGTGCGTTTTTCCGGCAGTGCGTGCAAGGAAGCGTGCAACCAATCAACCCACACGAGTGACGTGACAGATAGGCCCACTGCGATAACGGGAACGGACTTGCGCACACGCCATTCTGGTAGCAGATTCCGTCACATGTGGACGTCGTTCTTGTACTGTGGCCTACCCGGAACCCTTCAACGCCGAGATCTTGGTACTCCTTCCCCCCGAAGATTTTTCTTGACGTCGTGAGACACATCTCGCTGACGAGGAATTATTGAATGACGTTTTGATCGCCGTGTCTCGTGTGGCTTGCCAGCAGCATGACGGCTTTATTTCAACAGGCCACTGTCTACTGTACGTTATTGCTTCTCCTCACTATTCGCCGAAGCGGTGAGTGTTTTACTTTTTGTATCTATTCAGTTTTATGAATAACAGTTTTAGCGGAGTGATGGAGAAACTCCTTCCACGGCGTAAGAAATTTCAAGTAGTTTTAACTTCTCCCTGGTCGAATATTGCGTGAAACATCCGGCTTGGAAGTTGGAGGTTTTGGGTCGTTGCAAGAAAAGCGCTCATTGATTTTGAGAAATAACCTAAGAGTTACTTTTATTACCGCTTTGAGCAAACGAAACTTTCTTGAGAGACAAAAAATAACCAGAGCGGAGAATATACGTGCCCTATTTTCGGTTTGATTTCTATTTAAATAGGCTTAGGTATTTTTATGGAGAAAGTATTTATTTGGCCCCAGGTGCTGAACAGATAACCGTTATCAACTCCACGCCGCTGATATCCAATGGGGATACCTTACTGTCTTGCCTGGACGCGGCCGTCCAGGCTCCTCTCTCGCCCGCCCAGCTCACCGTGGGCGGGCTGACGGCCAGCGGGCAAGACTCGCCTCTGCCCGGTGGTACGGTCGCCGTCAACGCCGACGGGGATCAGCTGGAGGTCCGTTGGGGCGGCGAGCTTGGGGACAGCCGGCGCGGGGCGTTCTTCTGCGCTGGGTCCGACCAACAAGACAAAGTGATAACCTTCAAGGCCTACAAAGAAGGTGAGTTGTAACACTTTTAGGGAGCGGGGAAATTGGAAGAAAGCCCCTACGCCGATCTCCTAAGTCACACTGCCCTTGGTATTTGGAAAAAGCCAGCAATGTATAAAGACAAACGTTTGTGTTAGTGTGGAAAGTTATCTAGTTTGGGGATTAACAATAGCATAATGCTAAATTTGTTGTGGAATCAGATCTTACATATAGTGTCCGCCTGTAATAACTTTTCTGTGTCTTCTTTCTAACACGGGCGGTTCACAACAGTGCGCCTCCCAGACTTTGCAACGCGTTGGCCGATCCCAACGCGCGAAATCTGTCGACCTTTTCCAAACGCCCATTGGGTCGACAGATTTCTCGCGTTGTGACTGGCCGACGCGTTGCAGACTCTTGGAGGCACACTATGGTAAAACGCCCGTATTTCAATGCGAATCCAAAAAATCAATGGAGAGGTGCCCTGTGTTCTTCCAAACTTTTGAATGAGTTTTAAGGAACTAACGTTTACCCGTTTTAGTTTGATCAAAACTTCATGAGGATGTTTATCAATTACTTCAAATGATGTTTTGCACCGTTTTTGTTTGATCACACAAAAATATTAATGTACCGTCATGATGGGGTTGTTTATTTATCGAATGTTGCTCCGAACAATGTCAGGAAGTGGTGCACAGCTGCAGTCGAGTGCAGGTTGTTTTGGATTTGCTCGGGCACACTTCCTGAATTTTTGTTCAGCGGGGTGAACATGTTTGCCCACAATCAGCTTGGCACATCTGTCCCCCCCCCCCCACAATCCATCGCCTTGGCCGCCTCCTTGCCCAAAATAAAAGTGGTCGTGCGTCGAGGACGGTTGAGCCGTGTGCCGCATGCATGCCCCTCCCTTCTCCGTATACAAAAAAAAAGGGAAGAAAAAGGGGGGAGGGCTATGGCAGACGTGAATGTCATAAGAGTTAAACAGATCAATTTCTGACAATGTTCTGAGCACCCCGCTATTACATTTCCTTGTCTACTTCTTGCCCCAGTTTGGACACGGGCTCGATCATTTCCTGTTATTAGAATCCCTGTGGGTACATAAATAATGTCCAAGATTTTTACTGTGAGTTCATGACCCTGCAGACTGCATACAGGCCTGTAGAATCTATTCTTAGAAGGTGTTTGATTGAACCTCATGTTTATTGCTGTTCTCGTGAAGAAAATCAGAACCCAAGTTTTTAAAAGCCGCGGATATCAATAACATCAACAATACTGATGGAATGGTGAATCTAGATCGCCGGTATATACCAGCCTGTAATTTGCCTTCCGGTATCAAGTCATTGATTTGTCAGGAAAGGAGGGCAATATTGATATCGAACTACTCCCTTTATTGAATGTGAAGAAGTGTACTGAACGCCAGCACTAGGCCCATTCAGAGTAATCGTGTTTCCACTTGTGTCACGGTACGATAAAACCGATCGGCACAGCCACCAGGAATTACAGTTCGAAGGTCACAGGTCAAGGGTAAAGATAACGCGAGGGAGACAGAGAGAAACACTTGCACTTAGAGAAATGCAGGTCCGGTTTCGCGCAGGGCCAGGGATACAGTAAAGATTGATTAAAACTCGAATTGCAATGTCAGTTTCGCAGTCCGTTCTACGTAGCACCGGGATTGAACGCTAAAAAGTAAATTTTTCCATCGTCTTGTTTCAAGCCAGTACTTCGAGTTTGATACTTACCGCAAAACAAACTCAGTGGTGAAATGTGCAATGGAAAATATATATTGTATATATATTCGAACATTTCTTTGCGCACGCGTCAGGGACCGGAACTTCCGGTACTGAATCGGATCTCTGGCTTTTTTTAAATAACTTTTCTTCATAAGCAATTTCACCATTTTGACATGTTCCAGTCTTTTCTTAATTACTTTCAAAATCTATATCCATCATACATCTTGAAAATCTTGAAAATATATCCATCATGTTTAACTCGCTCACATCAGGCTGGGAGAAGTCCACTCGAAATTGACCTGTCAGATCGTGACATTCTCGGCGATTGATCTTTGCCACGTGGGAATTTTCTGGTAATATCATACTGGCTGTAAAGATCGAACCAGATTGGTTCGTATTTCGAGTTCTAACACGACGTATATAGGACACCGTCAAATTTTACAACAGGATGAATCCCCAACAGGATGTATAAGCAGTGGTAGGTCATAGGTCAGCAAAACGTTGGAGATCAGCATCTTCGTTATACCATAGAGCTACAAACCCTGTACACTGTGAATGACAGGTGAGACGGCAGGAGCTGTGTTGTAAACGGAGGTCCTTTGGGCATTTCCTGTTACTGCTCGATAACTTGTAGAGGGGTAGTTTTCTTGTAAACCCGAGTAAAATCGGGCACGCCTGTTATGTGCATTTCCAAGGCCCGATTTTCCAGTGTCTTGGGAGAGATTTGGAGTAATCGTTTCGGAGAATTAAAAAATACAAGTAAAATTGCAGTTATTTTTTGGAAATCTTAAGCAAGGCTCAGGTTCAGAAAGGTGACATTCAACAAAGAAGCGTGGTTTAGCGTAGGTACTGCCCTCGGCTCAAGGGGCGAACAAATTAGACGACTTTTTCAACGTAATTCATTTGTAGACGAAAGATTTTGTTTGAAATCTGAACATAAACCCACCTTCAAAACGGCCCGGAAATCCAGCAGCTGTATGCTGTAACCTATCAGGCACCTACCCCAACTTGCCTCGCCCCACCCAGAGGCATATGGGTGCCCGTGAGGGTAGGGACTAGAGGCCTATTGTTGGCCGATACTGGCTGCAAATTCTCATAATATAAAATTATAAAGCGCTTTGAGATCGTTGGTATAGTCAGAGCTTGATAGCAGCATTGACAGATATTATTTTGCGTCTGTTGCCCGAATATCTAGTGGAGTTAATAATTCTTAATCGATTCTATAGGCTGCCTGCATAGAGCGAAGAACTTAATAGGAACCTTGCAGTGGGACAATTTTTTATTGCATGCCGGCGCTGCACACGCGCAGCATGCGGAGCTTTGCTTCAACGGGCCCGTAGATACCATCACGGACCCGCCCCCCCGTGTCCTTATCTCCTTTCTCCACGCGACCCTCGTTCGGACCCCAAGCGATCATATTACCACCCTGGACTTTCCCGACGTCAAGTCACCTGTTGTGTGTGCCACGCGACAAAAAGCAAAAGGAGAAAACCACTGAGCGAGGATTCCAGGAACCCGTCGATCTAGTATTCCAGTATGTGGCTGTATTTTCGGTCAACGCGGTACGGTTCAGAGAAACGTGAACATCCCACAACCACGAAGGGTTACATTTATTCTGCATTATGTTCATGTTCAGGTTTTCAGAGAAACGTACAATCCATGAACAGTGAAAAAACAAAAAAGGGTTGAGTAAAGTTTGCACGCACTACAATCTGCCCATATTTTGAAACCACAATGCCACATAATGGCAATGGAGATAATTGAAAAGCTTTTCATACAAACATTCAGAACACGCACTGTTTGAAAATAAGAGCTTTGTTTTAAATTCGACAAGAATGGGAAGAATTCTGCCAATTCAAAATAATAAGCAGCCGAAACAGGAAGGCATAGGCTACAACAATGTGATAACTACGCCTTTAGAAACTAGGAGTTTCCAGTAAAGATTTCCCGAGACTTTACTTTGAAATCGCTGGAAATACTTTCCACGTCACCTCTTTTTGCAAAATTCCCAAATGGGTTCCCCTCCCAACATGGCCATGGCCATGTATGATTGTGTCCGATACACTGTCGACATATGATTTGTTGTTTGAATCTAAAATCTAATTAATGTATAGTCTCGTGTACACGTGTTATTCTTGCATCGCATCTAGTGCAAGTTATTCTCGCATCAGTTTCGGGGTTGACTCATTGAATAAAACAAGGCTCGCGGTCCGCATCGAAAGTAAGGCTAGCTTCGAGTCGGATGTGTTTCTCACGCGGTACTTGGAGGAGCAGGAAGGACTGTTAAGACTGAAATGGGCCCCTCCCCACTCTGGGAAATAGACAAAACACAGACCAACAAACAATTTTGCACGAAATCGCTAAAGAGCATGTCACCCGCCGCGCTCATTTCACACCCTTCTGTTGAAGTATTAGACTTCATTCGAGTCTGAAGTGCTTACATCGTAAGGTGAGCACCCACGTGCACTAAGGGTATAGGAGTGCACGTATGCATGCGTGAAATGTGTTCACACCATAATGTGATCCACACTATTTTGCCTTGCTGTGAATTTTACAGGCCTCAAACTAAAATTAGGAAGAACTGAAGGGCTGGGATGTGAATTTTTGCCAAGGATTGAAAACAACTCGAGGCGGGATACTGGAGATAGACCCCAAAGTTCACACCTGTTTACTTTACATACCTACCGTGGACATTCCTTTGTTTTCGTGCAGTTAAGAAAAAATCGGTGAAAATACTCATTTTTCTTGAACTAGGAACAAGATTTTCAGCTGATTTTTTTGTACAGGGCTTCCTTGACCTTTCCTCTTCCTTTTACCACGATGACCTCGACTCCAAAATGCTTCTAAACCTCTTTTCCAGAGAAGGGGAAACCTTGTGTGGACATGTGCAAGTCCACACAACGCCATCGTACCTTGCATTATGTGGATTTCTTTTGTGCAGAGGTCCACACTATGTATGACACGCCTGTACAAACCAAACCTCGACTCGTGTACAGATGCATCCATTGGTGACGCCTAAGAATGGAACATGCGACTTCCTCAACTCACTACGGGGCATTCTTGGCAGTAACAGCACAGTCCTCTGCCACGCCGCGATTCGTCTATAGGGCTGTTTCTTGTACTTTCTAAAAGTGGGTCGATCACGTACAAGAGCCCGGACAAGGCGGCTTGTTTCCGGCCGATCGAGATAAATATATATTTACTTTGTTATTTTAGGGCCACACCTAGAGTTGTCTGAAAATGAGGAACGGTTAGAAAACCTTTCAAAGGAAATTTAGGGTTGACATTCAGCTTCCTGTTTCAGTTTCTGTTATGTCTTTTTTTATAGTGTTCGATTCTCGGCTTAAGAGCTCTATTTCCCCCTACTATTTCAGCCCTGATTCAACCCGTCAGTTTGACGGTGACAGCGAGCGTTGGCGATACTGCCCGCCTGACCATGGTCAATAAGGGACGGCGGTCCTCAACAAACACGGCTCGCTGGACCTTCAACGGGACGGACGTCGCGTCGGACTCGCCCAGGGTGTCGTCGGCGGCGCCTGGTGAGGAGATCTACGAGATTACAAACGTCAGGCTGGAGGATGCCGGCATATATGAGGCCTACCCTTCCTCCAATCGATCACTGGGAGGTTTCATGCGCCTCATCGTGAGAGGTGAGTACAGTTAAGATTGTAATAGAATACGGGCGCTTCATAAAAGCGCGCCCCCAAGATTTTATTACACATTGGCCATCACAATGCGCGAAATCTGTCGACACAAGGTGTGTCTGGAAAGTTTGCAAACTCTTGGAGGCGCACTATTGTGAATATCCCGTATTAGACCTGTGAAGCTTTCTACTGAATTCAGCGTTTCCTTTTAGTATCATCTTGTAGTGTAAATTAGTGGAAGACTTTTGAAAGTGCAATGTGTGTCGACCTTACAAAATTCGTTTAGTTGCTTGTCGAACCTTCTTACGTGGATGGCTTTATATGTGCTGCCACCAAGCGTCGAGAAAGGGTGTCATTGACTGCAGCGGCCATATTGGATTATTGAGGCATACGCAAGACACTGGTCTTGGTATTGGAAAAATTGTGAAAACGAGTGCCTCCCCTGTTTTAAAAAGATCCACTTATATCTCTGATATCCAATGCATAATATAAGACATGCAACTTAGTAGGTATGGGTACGAGGTAGGGCAAACGTTGACGAATCGTATGGCAAATTCATGGGATAACGCAACCTCTGTCGTTATGGTGCACGATCTTGGGGAGTACTTGCTGAACTGTTTTCCCCCTTCGTTAAGTTTTTGGCCGTGGTTGGTACAAGATAGCTCCTTACAGTTTTACCAAGGAAACCGGAAGTAACCCACCGTCTGACGGGCCAGGTTTTACATACCCTGGATCTTTTCCAAGGACGTATACTACTTTTACCAGACGACCTCGGTAGCTTGCAGATTTTTAGGTAGCCTGGTCACTCCCCCCCAAAAAAAAACAAAGCGCAAAATGCCATCATCCTCGCCGCTTATTCAGGGCCCTACGCGACCCCGATTCGCTGTTTAAACCATGGAGTCCCGCGCTACAATGGCAATATTGTTATCTCTGTTTTCGATTCCCGATGTTACGCTTAGACAAGGACCATTCTATCGAAGTGATATTACGAAGGGTTCGCATGACTGCCATTTTGCAGGACAAAGCGTTTTTCCCACAGAGTGTGCACAAAGGAGGCTTCCCTGTGTAACAACAGACCTGCCTTACAAGATGGCTATACAAGCAAAGCCCCAGTATCTGATCCACGTTTGAAGTAAGCGAGTTCATTCAGTCCGTCAATGTCTACCGAGTTGCAATCGTAAACTCGCCCTAAAGCAACGCCATTCCGACATTTCACAAGATAATTCAACTTGAATGAGCAACTTTTGTTTACTAAATTGGTATATGACCCTGTCTGCACAGCCCATAAAAGTCCAGCTAATTGCAAAAATACTATTTGTTGCGCTCTATTTTTTTACCAGTTTGATTTTTGTCCAGCACAAATATTCTTAATAAAGTTAAACTATTTTTTTTATAACGATGATCCATGACATCGAACCTGGGTGTTTACCAAAATGGATAGCAACCGTTCACACATGAAAATTCAATCAACAAATCATAGTATGAAAGACCTTGACTTGTACTTTTCACAACTAAATATAAGATAGTTACATGAAGGATAGCGAGCGTTCACAAATTAGTCCCCCAAACCGGAAAGACCGAGGCAGTGTGTGAGTCAAGGATCGGTCCGTTTTAGCCCTCCAAACAAGTTGAATAGTTCCACCAAACCTGGCTCTATTTGTTGCACTGTTGTGGTCCTAACAATGGAGACATAAATGACGGGCATTTCCTGTTATTGGCACGCTAGAGCTGCCTAGATAAATCAACGATGTGTTTTTGTTTTCGATCAATTCTGTTGGACCCTGGGGAGACCTGGATAGCTCACCCCGTAAATGCGCCCTATATTCCCGGATTCCTCGCTTTGGACATCTGGCGATCAATCGAGCAAGGTTTGCCATCTCGGTTGTAAACAAGTTTGAGTCAAAGCCGAAGATCCAATTGGGATCCGAAAATTGACTGTGTAAAAGTTTATTTTCTGTAGGCCAGGAATCTCACTCGCTCGCATGTACAACAATCTCGCCACTGTGTTCTAAGTACTTGACTGTAACATTTTCGGAGTACATATAGCGTTGTTGCGATTACTTCAAAAAGTGTCGGGGGGTTTTATTATGCTTAAGATTTGCGGGTGATGGGACAGATTCTGTGAAATAAAATCCTTCCGCAATATTGTTGACATTTCAACGTCGGCATTATCCTATTTTCCCTGGTACTGTGAAAAACGCCGTCCCGGGTCTGAAGCCAAAAATATATCAGCCTCAATGAAGTGAAGCCAGAAGTGTTAGTAGCCAAGAGTTGGCATTCAACAAACTTCCGCCACGGAAATTATTTTGTTCTTATCAAAATGGTAGCGCTGGCCTACAATTTTGTTGAAATTATTTTGTTCATATCAAAATGGTAGCGCTGCCCAAGATGTACAAATGCACCCCTAAATACTGTCCTTGCCTAAAATAATTGATAACAATTCTCACAAAACCTGAAACCAAATACATCTTTATTTACTTTTTCGATCAGTGATTTTTTTCTCGAAGTAACTGATTTGGACTTGGTTCCCTTTTTCGCCGACCGTCTTTCATCTCCGCTCGACAGCTTGCCGGGAGGGCAAGTGGGGTACTGACTGCCAGGAAGATTGCACGCCCTGCCTGAACGGGGGTGTGTGCCACGATGAGACGGGGGCCTGTGTCTGTCCGCCGGGTTTCATGGGCGACCAATGCCAAATCGGTAAGAGACGTCACTGCCTTACCATGCACCACTTGCTAATTCTCGACGGAGATCTCCGTAATTTGTCTACAATTATGGTGCCCTTGAGGAAAAGTGAGGGCCCGCGTGGAGCGCCCTCACAGAGGACAGGTCTTTGTTCCTGTGTGATATGCTTGAGTAGACACAGAACATTATTGCCACCTAAATCTAAATAACAATACATGTCCTCTGAGAGGGCACTCCAAGGAGGCCCTCAATTAGCACCCTTTTTTAATAGGCCAGTCTATTATTTCATACCTCAGTGGGGAGAAAAACACTTTTTGGCACTATATGCATCCATCACCTCCAGACACGAGATCTCAGTGCCCTCCTCCATCACCACAGATCCTGGATGGTATCAACATTATTCACGTACACTGGTGCCAACGCCACCCGAGAATTAGTAAAACATCTGCCAAGGGCCATGCTTTATGCAAAGTACACCAGACTAGTCTCCAGATCTTCTGTTATTTCCCGCCTTTATAACTCCGTGCACTAGTCGTAGCTACAGACTGTAGATAACAAAAATGTGTTTGATTATATATAACGGTTTTAAAAAAAATACATCTTGAAAAAAATGTGTTTATTGTTTTTATTCCTCTGACGTAAGCATGACGTGGTTGTGGCATACCCTCCCCACTCAAGACCCACATCCCGTCTGTTTGGAGAAGGAGAGAGGCTCTTTTCTCCATAATCTTTATTTCCCCAGCAATTTATGGTTAAGCGATCAACTATTGGTGTCTGTTTTACCCTCTTTCTTGGGAAAAAAAGCGTGCGGTGGTAACAAGTATGGCCCGACCTGCCAGCGACAATGTAAGGCGGATAGCTGTCAACACATGCACTTCACCTTGCCCGACCCCTACGGCAGCTCCTGTGCGACCGGTTGGAGCGGCTTGGCCTGTGACTTGGGTAAGTACTATCTAGAGACGGTTCTAGGTTTTTACACAACTGATACGGTGACGGTTTGTTCCCTTCCTCGGGTGTAATCGTCTTCGTGACAAAACTGCCATGTCAAAAAGTGACAAACACATTGATTTCTGCCACTGTTTTAAGCATCAAGGCAGCCACGACCTCAACATGTAGGCCTAACTACATAATGAGAACGGGGTCGGATAACGTGCTGAGAAGGCTCTTGTTCTTTTCAGAACCACACATGCTCAGAAAGAGATATTCTTGCACGGTGCTACCTCAAACCTCTATACACACCATGCCGAGAAGTGCTACTTCTTCACTCAATTGTTGGTCTATCTGTGTAAAATTTGATCAACTTTTCGGAGGAATTGGCTCACGCATGTGTAGTCAATTTGTTTCCCAAAGCTGGGCAATAGATTATCAGAGTGTGAGAACTGTTATTCTTTAATGTTTTGATCATATCAAACGCCTGAATTGCTTTTCCCGATGCAAAGTGATGGCTGTTTTTTTTGTATTTTCAACGCAACGAAACCATCCTGTTCGGAATGATACTGTGGATATATTAATATTTCTGAAAAGGATGGTAATCATGCTCCGTTGTTTAGCGTCAGTCCAAGAGACGGAAGCGTGCCCCAGTTAAAAAGCTGGGGAAAAGACACTAAGTTGGTGTTTTGTTCTTTTGACCCCGTGCGGCGCTGGAAATTACTGGGAATTTGGAATCGGTCCAAATCCGGTCGTCATAGCCCCAAACTGAAAGTTTTTGTTTTCATATTCCAAATCCAGCTGGAGACTTCGAAACGTCGAAAAACTGACAACAAGTTGACACTTGTAACGCAGTTTATTTTGTGGAGTTTTATTGGCCGGCTGTAAAGTTATAAAAGCTTCCTTCTGCATGGATTAAACTACAAAGGGACATTATGAAAACGCTACTGTAACATTCGATTTGTGTACTTACTTAGTTATGCAGGTCATCGCCCTTCTACCGTCTCTCTCCCAGTTTTACATATTATGATCTGTTTTCATTCTCAGTTCCATCCGATTTTGCATTTAGAATTATTTTGCCGTCCCGAATTTGCTCAAATCTTTTGGTTATGGACAAATCCGACGAGACGCCATTCCGAGGGGCCATTTATATTCTAGACTGATTTGTTGCTAGTACTTAGCGTTCTCCGAGTCAAGCGCGCATATACTTGGCGCCTATGCAGTGAATGCATTGATCTCCATTATAGACTATAGACGCTCGTGGACAGGTGGCGCGCGCGCTTTACACGCCTGCTCGACCAATAGGGTGTCGTGATTTGCCAAAAACGCGCGCGCCAAACTAAACACTGCATGCGTGAGTTTGCCACTGCAGGTAGGCCTATGGAAAATGGTATGCCATGCCGTACAGTTTGCGGAAGCTCGTACGTTGTGAAAACTGAAGACATTAAACTAAACAAATAATTACGACAATTATGCAAACAGCTAGTGCTCATTTTAAAACTTTTGTACATACAAAATGAGTATATGAAGGCCTACCAAGCTACTCTACTAGGACCCAAACTAAAATGTGTGAAAATAAAGATATATTGGAGGCATCGTAGCTGTTAGGGTATGGAAGAGTTTTTCTTCCTCCGTGGTTAGGGTGAATGACGCAGAATTGGTTCAAAAAGTAGTTCAGCCTCTCTTGACCAATAATATACAAAGCAGTGTTGTTATAAACAAAAGTGTCCCATCGTGAGCAGTAGTCACCACTTTAGAGAGGAAGTGGTAGGAAGACACAGTAAATGGGTGTGATAAACAGAGTCATTGTTTATTTGATATTGCCCGGGTTCTTTTCCTGTGTTATCTTGTCAACAAAGCGAAAGGGAAATATCAAGGTCCACAGCTGGCCCAAACGGTTGGAGTTGTGAAAGTTTTTCTGGACCCCAAATCGAAGATACTTCGGTGATGCGGGGTTAATTTGGTGTCCGCACGGCGTGAGGCGGGTTGTGGCAATTCTCCATCCTACTCTGCCGAGAAGTGCGTCTACACGGCCGGGAACAAGTGAACGTGCCATGACCCGCATTATTGATCGCCCCAGAAAACCGGGAAAGCTTTGTCGTGGACGTGACACCAGTCACTGTCAACTCAAATCGTGTAATTAGATATGAACCACACTTTGGAAAGGTGCAGCTGGGTTGGTGCAGTGAGCCACACTGCCGGTCCCGTTCAACTAGCATAAACCGGGTTCCGGTGGCAAGGTGTTGACTTTTGTTGGACGTAGTCCAACAAAAGTCAACACGTTGGACGTAGTCCAACAATTGTTTGTATCGAATTCCGTAACAAAACAAATCTTCTCTTCGCTTGGACAAGTAGGCTTTAAGCCACTCTTCATTACGGCTCTGACTTTCAGAAGACTGTTTCTTTTTTCCGCGTCAAAATACAAGCTTTGTGCAGCCGGGGTCCCTCCTACGGCTATACGTCCCGCGGCCGTTTGTATAACGCTGTGTTAATACGGGCGATTCACAATAGTGCGCCTCCAAGAGTTTGCAACACGTTGGCCAATCACAAAACGCAAAATCTGTCGACCCTTTCCAAACGCGCATTGGGTCGACAAATTTCGCGCATGATAATTGGCCACTGCGTTGCAAACTCTTGGAGGTGCACTACTGTGAATCGCCCGTATTGTTGATTTACACAATGCACAGTAAGGCTTAGGCTGTTTTCCAATACTCAACTTTGTCTCCGTCTCAGGCTTCGTTCCAAAAACCAATTCCCGATCGTGGGCCTGAAGCGTTTGAATTACATTGGATTATTGTAATTTTTGGCTTTATTGCGTCTTATTTGATGTTCTGTGGCACCTTTAGATGATTACTGCGCTTACAGCTTCAAAGTCAGCTAGTAAAAAAACAGTTGAAGCCTGAGACAGAGCCGAAGTTGAGTATTGGAAAACGGCCCTATATGCTGTAGTGGTTAATTTGCCGATTTCAGTAGTTGTTGTGTCGTCCGGCAGAATTATGTTTCTGTTTCGTCCCTGAACCAGGATTTCCCACGCATGTGGTTTTACATTTTCTTCGAAATGTGGTCCGGGACCTCTGTCTCTTAGCTTCAAAGGTGTGCCATCCGGCTAACTTTTCCCGACAAACTGTGTTTTAGCGTAGCACCAACAATAATGTGAAGTTTGACCCCTTTTGAACCATAACATGGGATGTACTCGTTGGTGTCGCCAGGCTGGGGGGGGCATATGAGACGTACCAATTTTTAATGGGGGGGGGTGGGGAATTCCACTCAGGTCCACCAAATCCCAGTTTCAGAGGGGTGTAGGCGGAGAAGCAATAATTCCCACCGGAATAGTTTCCCCTTGCCCCCGTCGCTACGCCACTTACTACAGATTGCGTTTCAGGCAAAACAAAAACTAGGAGGCTAGGTCAGTATATGTTGAGATTTAGTTTTATCCAAATAAAGAGAAAATACGCCTGCCACTGAAGTTGACCGATCGACTCAATAGCTCCATGCTCTGTCAAAGCAAGGCACGCTCAACTAGACAGCGCCGGTATAGTACTTTGCAGTATATGTGAACATGCATGACACCCCCGCTGAACTCCAATTATGCATAAAATGCCATTTAGGTGTTTGTGGGGATTTTCACGTCGCTGAGTCTGCGTCAGTCTAGTTATAGACACAGTACAACATTCTCCTTCCTCCGTGGTACAATGTATTTATGTCGATCGAAAAGAGAAGAAAGGCAGCAATATCATGTGTAGAACTGCTTCAGTTGTAAAGAAAATGTGTTTCTTTCATTGTTGTATAGGGAGCCCAAGGTATTGCTTCTTGTGTGTCTGTGGGCCCGAAAAAAGTCTAAACCATTCTTCAAAGTAAAGCTTTTGTTGCGTTACTCTGACCGTCCCAGCTGAAACATGTTGAGCAGCTTCTGGGGAAAAAGGGAACTTGCTTAACATCCCAAGTTTCTTTCTCTCGAAGTGGTACATTCATACTTTCAATCAACCCAGCTTCCGTCACGAAACCGAACTGTCTGGAATTTTCAATGCAGCCCGCCAGCCCCGAGCTAACCCGCCTTGAACTAGTCAACCTGCACCCTGTACGTGCCGAGGACGCCTGGCTTCATCTCTGAGTGCCCGTAAAAACAAAATCCTGACTAATCAATCGAATGGTGGAACAGCCATGGGTCTTATCTTGAGCGTGCCGGAGCAAAAACTACTCCAGGAAACTGCAGCGGCAGTAGCGCATGTAACAGCGCAGCCGCAGTTCCTGGCATGGAAAGGTACCTCTTGTATGTGTACGTGCGCTGCAAAACCGACACAATATACCGGACTATGCCACGTAAATTTGCTTCATCCCAGGAGTGTCTTTTCCAGGAATGCAATCACAAGGCACTCGAGGGTACCCAGGGTAGTCCATGTATCAGGAAACAAATGGAGATTTACACCAGTGTGGCGTTCGTTCCCTGCGTGCTGCATGTGACGTGACCGGCCAATAGTCGAATGAACAAAATGATGTATTTAAACTTTTCAAGTCATACCTGGGCGTTCGCGGGAACACTTAGATAACTTTAATACAGTCAGGGGTTGATCGTAAACATGATCCTTGCCGCAACTTACGACTAAGGATTCCGCCCATCTTGTAATTTAACCACACCGGGCTTATAAGCCATCTTATCAGCTAGGGCCTACAGTTAAGTCAAGTTCGAGCGACGATTGAAGTTAACTGTAGTTCGATCAACACCGTCGAAGGGTGGATGATGGCTGGGACCATCTTGTCAACCGTTTTGGAACCACACCTTGTAAGCCTTGGCCACTCCGCTAGTTACCAATTGATGTGTTGACTTATCAGCGATCAGTAATTGAACCACACACGTGGAACTATCTGTCCAAGAAGTCATTGACCGAAAGTTGCAGCCAGTTTGGATTGAAACTGTGCCGTGATTTGGAAAGGTTATGCTGTAGTACTGTCGAAACATTTTTGATAAACGACCATTACCGACTTGAGATCTAGGCTACTGGTCGCAAGTTGCCCGTTCTCTTGGTATGGTGGCGCTCTTTCGAAAAGGCGGGCAACACGAAAACCTATTTTTATTGCCGGAAGGTGGTGCAAATGATTTTTGGCACGTGCGCTTGACGCGACGACGAACCCCGGGGTTGGGTTCCCAGGGCCAGTAGGCGTATAGCTTACACCAGTAACATTAGAGTTAGACCGCAGTTTACACAGACTAACGTTTGTGTTGCTGTTAGAATCCAGGGGGATTTCTACCGAGTACCAAACTTTTGGATGCCAGCTTGTTGGCAAGTTGGTATGAAATCAGGTAATAAAGAAGTAAGCAAAAGAACAGGCCAATGAATTTTTCTCAGCTCCAAATGACCCAATAAACATACTGTGGGGTGTCAGGTAGCGTACTCATAGTCAAAGTGGAAAGAACTCAACAAACGTTTGCCAATCATTCTTAATGCAGTGACCTATTAGCCATCTCAAATCAGTAAAATGTCTAAAATAGTGAAAAATAGAGGTTTTACTTGAACAACAGAAGTTTTCAGACTGGTTTCAGAGGATTTGTGCATATCAAGCGTCGTCAGTGTGTTAAATTCTTTCCATAGTAAGTTAGTAGTCAAGTATCACACCAGACAATTACCTGTGTAGCCCAACTGCCTTCAGTGGAAAATATTTATAGAGTCTGAATTTTATTTGGAAGTTTATCCACTTGTTTTGTTTAAATGATTGATTTAGTGATAATCTCAGGCTTTCCTGGGTTTTCATTTTCTTTGTGATGTTCTGTCCTGCAGCCTGCGCCGATGGACTGTATGGAGCAGATTGTGCCATTGCCTGTGACTGCCCGCCCGGTATCCTGTGCGACAAGTTCACCGGTTCCTGTCTGTGCCCTCCAGGAAAAATGGGACGGACATGCGAGGACAGTAAGTCGCTGCAAACGCAAACGGAGAAATCATAAAACATAGCTAGGAGGGGTGCACATTGTGGGTGGAGTTTATTTTTGTGGTGGGGGTCACTTGTTTTTGCCTTCAGAGGGTTCATTTGGGTGTGGGTTTTGAAAGCTTCCTTAATTGGAAATTTTTCTGTTTTCCATTTAAATTGTATCGTAAAAGATACAATTCAAATGAGCTGTTTTTTCCTCACAACTTCTTTTTAGAAGATTATGCCATCCCCCACCAACAGACTTCTTTGATGATCTGTTTTTTGTCCCTTTCTTGCAGGATACTTCTTTGAGGTCAATGCGACAACCGTGACACTTGGCGATGACATCCAGGTGGCTTTAACCTGTGGTTGCAAGCCATCGGTCACAGACTGCCCCGCAATCCACATTGAGGTAGGTGTCGACATGTTTTGCTTAGGTCATCCACTTACATGCTGACATTCTACTCGCTCAAGAGAGTGATTGGTCGACTAATTTGCAACTGAATGTGCACAGTTGGCAAGATTTGCCTGTCACTGAGTTTTGGGCAAAAAATTTGTTGAAATCTGTGAAAATGAAGATGCTGACATATCAGGCCACAAAAAGAAGTAGTTTTTGAGAGCATTCCTGAAAGAGGAAAATGTTCACCATATTTTGAAACATAAATTATGATAAGATTACACCTGCATGCTGTCCAAGTTTTATGTGGAGGTCAAGATGCACAAGATGGAACATGCAGGAATTAATCTTCAATTGAAGAACAAATTCACAATCCAACTTAACTGTGATTGGATTATATTCTCAACCCGGTGTTTCTTAAGAGAATGGCATTTTTCAGGGGATGGAAGAGAATATACTGTTTGATATAACAATATCGCGCCTGATTTCTGGGAGTACAGTGTCGTCATAGCCTGTGCAAGTTATCGTAGGGATGTATTGGAGTATCCCCTCAAAGCTATCAAGTCATACACGATTACGTCTCAAGGATGTGCTTCGTCTGAAAGTTTGTAAGAGCCCAGTCACTTTGTTGTTGGTTTTTGTACCAGAGTGTCGTACCAAGCACTCTCCCACCGGATTCCAACTTGGTCCGGAATTTCCGGGACTCTCAACTTGTCTGGTTGTTCACGCCCTATTCTCTCAGTGGGCCCTGGGTCTTCAAGTGCCAGATTGGCCTCGACTCCAATCCGGTCTTTGAGTATTATGTCAACGTCACAGCAATTGGTAAGTAATTTAATGCACGCCTCATATACGCCTACCTGTCACTGCCCTTGGTTGTCAAGTTTTCATTTTCCCCGCTAACGTTTGTCGTCCGACAATAGTGGACGATGTTGTGTACGTAACGGCCCACCCGACCTTGTTAATCATTCGACCAAACACGGACGATATCTAATGGTGGTCACATCTATAACTTCACCCTGACCTGAAGTTTTGTCCTAATGAATAAGTTGATCTTTTCTTGCAGTTTGCATATTTACATTTTACGACACTGATTGAAAGTGCTCCTGTGCATTACTTTGCAACTTTTATTTCACAGAGTTCTTTTCGTCTCTTGGTATTCTCAAACTTATAGAGCTATTGACCCTTAAGTACATATAAATTATTTGCTAGAAGTTGGGGAAAAGATTGCCGATATCATAGGGTTTCCAGGTTGACAGTCATATCATGCTGCATTAATCACATGCACGCTGGGGAGTTGCATGAATCCAACCTTGTTTTACAAACTCTCATTGCCTCGTCCCGCAGAGAACCTACCCGTGGTCTCCCTGGAGGATGTGGAGGTCAATGTCGGGGCGACAGCCACCTTCCATTGCGATGTTGGCAACAGCAACCCTGAGGATGTCAGGGTGAGCCTGTACCCTTCCAGTGCTGGCCCTGGGGCTGCCCAGTCCCCGTCCTACCGTCATCCACAGGACACCGACAAGGACCTCTATCTCTTCGATGTTCAGGATGCATCCCTGGATAAGGAGGGCCAATATGTCTGCGAGGCCAGTGGAGCAGGAGGTACCGCCAGCAGTCAAGCTCAACTTGCAGTCAAGCGTGAGTGCCCCTTTGGAGACCCTGTGCCCATCAGGATCAACCTCACGATAAAATCTCTAGCCTTACCTGATGCTTGCGAAGTCCAAATTTCAAAAAGACCCCTCTTTGATTGAGGAACAAAGTTGCTGACTTTAGTCATGTTACATGGACTCCAGTCGCGATTTTTGTGACTTGTGACTTGACTTATAAATACCAGCTTTGACTCGTGACTTGACTTGGACTTGCAAAAAATGACTGGTGACTTGACTTGGACTTGCAAAAAATGACTTGTTACCAACCCAAGTCAGACACTACTCGACTGGCCGCATATATTTTTATGACCCGTAACTTTGCAAGATGATGCTTCATTCTTTTTGCTGATTACAGCTGGACAAAATAATGTGCAGCTTGACTCGTACTTGGACAGAGAGACTTGTGACTTGACTTGCCCTGAGACCAAATGACTTGTGACTTGACTGGCCACTGGACCTAATGACTTGTGACTTGACTTGGACTTGCAAAAAATGACTTGCTGCCACCTCTGCAGAGGGAGATTTCCAACTTAGAAACAACTCTAGAGTGTAGGTCCTAACCATGTGACAAAACAAGTTCGATTGTGAAAAATCCCTCCTAACAATGTTTGTGTTACCCAAGGAAATGCTTCAAACTAGGAACACTGCAATGTCAAACTTCCCCCCAACAATCAACGTCGGCACAAGGAAAATGAGGCAAGAGATTAGGATCTGTCATCTTCCCCAACCACGCCTTTCTTTCTTACCCTTGCCTCTCCCGAACTCGTTTGCAGAGCCACCCAGGCCCAGCCTGCCCCCCACAGTGACAGCTGTGACGTGCCAAACGGCCACCATCCGACTCAACTCGGAGGCCTTCACGGGCGATGGGCCTATCCAGCGTTACTCGCTGGAGTACAAGCGCTCAGAAGAGACCGCGTGGACGCCACTAGACGAAGAGAGCGTGCCGGCGGGCGACACCAAGGTCCTGCAGGGACTGCGGGGACACACCCGCTACAACGTCCGACTGGTATTTATTAGAGCCGGCCCAAATGGGCGGGGCAATCCAGGAGATCCGGCCACGTTTTTCACAAACCACAGCGGTAAGCTTTCATAGGAAATTCTTCCAGTTTCGGGGGTGGTCAACGACAGCAAAACATTTGACAAAGTCATTTCGTTACAAAGTTCAGTCACCTTTTAATTTTTAGACTGCGGGTTGTCATCCTAGGATGTTGTGTTGTTTTGTTTTTCTATGTAAATTCAAATTTGCATATTTATGAGATAAGGAGTGATGTCATATGAGACAGAAATTTCTGCACGGCAATTATCACTGCAGGAGAAAACATGCCAAGATTAAATTTGTGACCGCTGGCAATGCCGATCTTCTTTCATTGTCGACTTGTGGAAATTATTACAGCGACCTGTTTCTTCCGTCTATAGTGCCAGATACTCGTCCAGACATTCAGCTTTCAACAGAGGACGGTGAAGCAACCATCATTCGAGTTCACTGGAGGGTGAGTCACTCAACATCCTGAAAATGCCTACAGTGCCAGCAGTTCCTGCTTGGTCAAACATGTTTTCATGAATTTTGTCTCTTCTGATAGCTTTGCTTTGGGGTTTATTTTCTAACCAATTCATGATTTTGAATGCTGCCAAATGAAATGTTTGGTGCTAAATGTACTGGGACTGTCGGATTGCTTGGAAGCTCAGAAGCTCAAGAGTGTTTAGTCAGGTGCCTCTCATAAATCTCTCCCACTTGTATGCCCTAGTCAAATACCATTGCCCGCAATACTATTGACATGTAATCCTAGGCCTTTGCACCGCGGAGCGTAATGGTTGGAAAGTGTCTCAAATCAATACATATATGTTTTTGAAGTGTGTTAAACTATTTCGGCACGTACTGATTTTGTTGACGTCAAGTGCTTTGATGCCATTCCTTTCCCTCAGGCATCGATATCCCCGTCCGATGAGGTGGACAGTGCCCTCATTGAGTACACCGTGCGTGGGGAAGAGCCCCAACAGCTTGTGGTCAACGACCTGTCTGAGTCTAGTGCCGTTTTACAAGGGCTGCGGCCATACACCGTCTACTCGGTGCGGATGCAGTTTGTGAACTGTCGGGGCGGAGGTCAGTTCAGTGCCCGGAGGAATCAACAGACAAATGAAGGAGGTGAGTCACAGTGTCTGAAGTCAAGTACTTCTCAAGTACCTCATGTGAGTAATGACAGTCCCTTTTGCAAGTTCTCTCAGTTGTGTAGTTAGCACTCACAGTACTTGCAGTTGCCTCACAAGTACTCATATTTACTTTACATGTACTCACAGTTGCCTGATAAGTACTCGCAGTTACCTCACAAAATGCTCACAGTTGCCTCATAAGTTCCTGCAGTTGCTTTGCATGTACTCGCAGTAGCTACACAAGCACTCAGTTACCTCACAAGTACTCGCAGTTGCTTCTCAAGCACTCGCATTTGCTTCATAAGTACTAGTACACATGATTGCCTGTGATGTGAGTTTCACCGGTATCTTACCCTTGTCAATCATCTGATTGAATCAAGGAAAACAAGAAAATTAAACTGAGTTTCCCTTGGGCATCAAATCCTCTGCGAGTGATAATAACTCTGCTTCAAAAGGGTCAAGATCATGATCTCAATGCCTCTTTTTTCCTGATTCCCCTTTTCCCTCTGTTGCTGCGTAGCCCCCAGCAAAGTCTCAAACCTGAATGTGGAAGTCCTGTCCCACGACCGCATCTCGGTGACCTGGGATGCACCCGCAGAGGCCAACGGCGAGATTAGAAATTACAAGGTGAGCTCCCTGGAGTTCATTAGCAGCTCACAGGAGAACGAGCCCACGACCTTCTCAGTTCTACCTTCCGAAACCCAGCTGGTACTCGGGGACCTCCGGCCTTACACCACCTATGTCATCGAAGTGGTCGCGGTGACAGTCAGATCAGGAGAAATGGTGTCCAAGACCGTGCGGACTTTAGAGTACAGTAAGAACCTTTGGTGTCCCTCCCCCCCAACCTATCTCCCTCGACTCATTCTATCACCTGCCACAGGAATGTGCATGAGAGGCGCTGTGTCGCCGGGTCAGTCTTGGGGGGTGTTCATTCACTGATTCTTGTGCTCAAAGGGTAAATCTGGCGTGAAGGGTCAGCGCATGAGTTAGGCCAGGGATTAGCAGCTAAACTTGTCCACTGTTCTCCCGCATCAGTTGTGAGCCAAAATCAAGAGAAAGCATCGGGGCCATGTTGTAGTTGAGTCCATAGCTCGCCCTTGTACAATTTATTTCATAAGTCCAGTCACAGGTCACATAGTGGTCAGTCAGGATGGACAGAAATAGCTTGGTCACAGTTCACTTTGAAGAGTTTACGACGACTTAGGACTAGATGACTTACAAAATGAAAAACTTCCAGCACTCTTCTGTACTGCTACCATTCTTTGCAGCGTGAGGGCAGCAAACTGTAAGGAGGTCAAATAAAATGACCAGCAAGTAATTCCTTATTGCAGAGTTAACTTGTTTTCTGGTCCTTAGACACAAAACTGTTTCCATGTTTTTGCGTATCAAGATCCATTTGGTCCGCCCACCTCGCTGCGGACGCGGCGTGTCACCACCACCAGCATCGAGTTCCTCTGGGAACCGCCCGCCGAGGACCAACAGAACGGCCTCATCGTCCAGTATGAGTACATCTGCATCAGTCAGGACAACGTGGACCGGGCGCAGCACGGCAACACCACGGAACCCCGCGTGGTGGTGAGCGGCCTGCAACGGAAGGTGCTCTACACGTTCCGCGTCCGGGCCTACACAGGGGTTGGGCCGGGGCCATATTGCGAGGAATTCCTTGAAGAGACGCGAGAAACAGGTAACGTTGCATTGCTTGATAATTGTAGTGAGATATAGAAAGAATGTACTTGTGGAAGGAACTTAATTTGGAACTTAGACTTTTAAAAAAAGCCAGCTTGATGCAAACTTTTTTGAAAATCATACCATTCACGTAGATTTTCACATGTAATCCTTGTGCCCTCTTGAGAAAATAGAGAAGACTTTAAAACTGGAAATATTTCTGGAATGAAAACAAAATGGGAATGATCATTGTCCAGGAACTAGCCCTGACATCTGTAATCAGACTCAACCCTGACTAAATATCGGTTATAATTATTGCCTTAACTTAAAGCCCGACTCAGTAATACTTGACCGACAGACCAATATCTCGAAGGAAATATTGATCAGTGAGGGATGGAATTGATCGTGAGATTCAAAGCAAACAGACATTGGAAACATCTGCTTCTGGGTTTCTTGGGGTCAGGGAGGGGAAGGCTTAAATGTCACATCTGAACAGTAATGTTGCATTTCTTTATCCAAATTTGCGCCCACCAGAATTGATTGTCACTTCCAAGACGCCCATGGCCACCACTGCTGCTGCCGTCAAATCTGACGAGTCTACAGGAGGTAAACTTTTGATAGTCTTTGAAAAATCTTCTTAATCAGTTCTCTTCCACGGAACATACTCAATCACTTCACTGGTCTTGAGACTGGTGTTGAGACTGGTCTTTTGACTGGTGTTGAGACTGC